AAGCCAGCGTTTTGGTCGCTTTCCTAGCCGCCGCATCGCACTGCAGGCTCGTGTCCATCCTGTGGTCAGTCCTGACCCCCAAGTCCCTTTTGTGCATAGTGCCAGCCAGCGCAGCACTGCCCAGCCTGTACGCGTGCTGCGGGTTTTCCCTCCCAAGGTGGAGAGCCGTGCATTTTTCGGTGTTGAACACCATCAGGCTCTCGTCCGCCCGTTTCATGAGCCTGTCCAGGGCAGCCTGGATCGCCCTCCTGTCCTCACGTGTGGACGCTTTGCCCCAAAGCTTGGTGTCATCGGTGAACTTGGCCAGCCCGCTCCTGACTCCAATGTCCACATCATTAATGAAGATGTTAAATAGTGTAGGCCCGAGGACAGAGCCTTGAGGGACCCCACTGGTCACCACCTGCCACGATGACTGGCTTGTGTCAAACACCCCCCCGGGTCCAGCCACGGAGCCAGTTCCCAGCCAGCGGATCGTGGTGAGGCCGAGGCTGCAGTTGGCCACTTTCGCCAAGAAGTGATCATGGGATACCAGATCGAAGGCTTTTTTAAAGTCAAGATATACGACATCAATCTCTTCTCCCTTGTCCAGGTGATCGGTCGCCTGGTCGTAGAAGGAAATGAGATTGGTCAGGCACGACCTACCTGCGACAAACCCGTGCTGGCCATCCCTCAGGATGCTGCCGTCAGACAGTCTGTTAAGAACGGCCTCTTTGATAATCTTTTCCAAGACCTTCCCCGGGATAGCGGTCAGGCTGACGGGCCGGCAGTTTGCCAGATCCACTTCCCTCCCTGCCTTGAAGACAGGCCCCACATTGCCCTTCTTCCAGTCTTCGGGCACTTCACCAGAGCGCCAGGAGCTCTCGAAGACCCGTGCCAGGGCTGGGCTATGATGCTCGCCAGCTCCTTGAGCACCCTGGGGTGTAAACCGTCCGGGCCGGCTGACTTGAAGGTGTCCAGCCTCTCAAGGTGTTTCTTCACAAGGTCAGCTACGATGGAGGGCAGGGGATCTCCCTCACCCGGGCCTCCCTGTCCCACAATGGGCATGGGCGTCCCATGGGACTGGTGAAAGGCCAACGCAAAGTACTTAATAGGTTGGCTTTTTCCTGGGCGGCAGTCGTCGGTTGTCCCATCT